TATCTATACATTTTTTTTTTTTTTTTTTTTTAGATTTTACTTGGTTAATAATCTATAGTTTACAACTATATATGTATTCAACATCGATTTTATGTGTGGCGAAACGGATAAAAATCAACGACTTTTGGTCAGATTTGAACTCGGATCTTCGGCTCGTTAGAGCAGCGCACATCTCTCGGCGCTATGATCGCCACAATTGATTTGTCATTAGTCTTACTTTATAACGGGATCAGGATTAAATCTGGAATTGTAGGCTTTGAATAACAAGTTTGATAAGTACTTACTGGTGTAGGATCTCAAAGTATATTTTTTTGCTTAGGAATACAGAAGCATATAGCGTGTGTGATAGGAGGATACATTGTATCGCAAATTGCGAAGAAGTTCGTTGAAGATTTTCATGGGGAACGTGACACTAGAATGAGAGATTATATCATACGACATCCGGAACTCTTTCCCGAGCCAGGTAATGTGCTCTTCTCCACTCTTGAAAAGAGAATTAAAAGTGAAAGGATGTACTGTTTGCATTGCAAAATGCATGTATTTTGTCGTTAAGAATCTGTTTATCTTAATTTGACTTGAAATGTTACATGGCTGCTCTTGTTTCTTTTTTCAGAACGTGTTAAATATAGTCAAGTATTGGAAGAGTGGTTCCCGGTGCGTTAATTAATTATTTAAAACCGTTAGAAGTGATTGCGCCATCTTGATTGCGTATCCTGCAGATAGACAGTGCGGTTCGATGCAATGAATGTAGACACGTTGTATATATACTTAAAAATATATATATTTAAAATATATAGCGTTCCGGCTAAAACGAAAACAAGACGCCATTTAAAGTAAGACAAATAAGGGAATGTTGTATATAAGAGTAATTAATTCAAGCTACTCTCTCTGCTGTCCTCGAGAAATAAAAGGCAGATTTTTTATTAGATTTTATGTAGCATCGAGACGTTTTATTTTCTCTTTCAGATTGAGCGGTACACACTTAACGTATTAATAGATGCGAACGCTGTCGAGCATACGGAGATAGGTGTATAAGTTTACGCATACTGACTCGTACATTCGAGATGCAAATTGAAATTTTATAAGAGGTTTCTCCCATATTAGAAAGTGAGATGCTTGACGCGAGTAGTAATCGACAATGGATCTCTATATCACGCGCACACTCAAGACATCTACTTTTCTTTTATGACAACGAAACGCGAATCACTTGCGCTAAATTAAATCTAATTCACTCGAGTGACACTCCTATTTCTTTTCAGGATTGTAATTATCGTTGTATAGTCCTGTACCCTTCGAGTCTCCTAACCAGGGATACTTGTTCGGGCACTCTCTACACGTTTCCATATACCTGTTAACAATTAACATAAATATAGTTTAAATATAGTTTGCTAAAATATTTAGTAATTATTTAATAATTCTATAATGTTTCGTCGACAGTTGAATCAATTTTTACCTAGTCGTTGTGAAATTTGCTTCGGCAGGCTTGAAGTCTAAGGCGCACTTGTGCGCATTGTTGCACGGCGGTCCGGGCAAATTCTCTTTCTTTTTACACGACCACCCTTCGAAGTTGTGCAGTGCTTTAATCGGTTTTGGATCGGTCATCCACGTTAACGCCTGCGTGGCGGTTACGAAGTAAACGTCGGGTCTGTAAATGTCCCAGGTTTATTTTAAAATATCGAAATTCTCGATAGACATATGCTTTATGCATGATGACTCACAGCGTTACCACCCAATCGAGAAATTTCGACAGACCGCGTTCCAATTCCTTGATTTGGAACCAATTGGTGTGGAAAGGCATCATGTACGGCGCTCTGTTCTGTTCGTAATATCTGTTGAAGTCCTCCTGCAACCAGTCGAACACTTCCTCGGGATCGTGATTATGAAGAACGCATTGATCCAAGTAAGGACAATGTCCACCTTCGTAACTCTCCACATAATGTGCATTCAGAGGTAGTTCCCAAATGCCTGCGATAATGGATAAAAGTTTCTTTAAAAATTCCAATATCAAATGCATTATTCATTATATTTCTGTTCTACGTTGAACAGACGAGACTAGATCTTCGTTACGATTCTATTACCTTGGAACGATTTGGTAGGACAAGTACCCGCTTTACATTCGTGCGGAATTTTGTAGTCAAGGGTGTACGGCCAGATCGGCACCTTTAGCGGCGAGATACCTATGCTGCTGTCGTATATGTATCCAAAGTCCTCGAGCACTTTGTACTGAGTGTTGCGACCGGGTTTCAAGTAAGGCGCTCGCATACCGACGACCTCGCCGGTTGAGATATTACTGAAGTGCTTCAGTATTTCGCGCATTCCAATCATCTCGCCGACCCACTCCTCGTAGCCTTTGTCTTCCAGGCCTTTCTGGAGTCTGAAAACATTTTACCTCGTCAAGCAAAATAATCCTAAAAGTACGCACCCCAAGTATATTCGCGTTACTCACGAGATCGTCTCGGTCGCAATCTCGTGTCCGTCGTGCGCCAGGCTCTGGACCATATTGTAGTTGCAGTACTCGTGAGAGATGAAGAACGTGCCCCTCAACGGACAGTTGTTGGGATTCAGGCGATCTTGGGTGAATATCTTTTGATAGTGATCGAAGTTATTGTGATTTATCGCACCATCGAACGTCATTATTATCATTTGCGGCGTCTGGAATCATTCAGGTCGTTGTATTTACGTTTGAACCGACCGATAGATCACATCACGAGGATTTGCAATCAGGTAGCCGTTTTACCTCCTCCGGTTGAAGACCACCGGGAATGATCGTGCCGTCTCTGGAACAGAAGCAGTACGGCAGCTGGCAGTTCGACGTGTCGCAGCGCTCGGCCAAATCCGTCGGTGGCTCGGTGATCGGTGCCGGCGCTAGAAATTAAAGGACACCATCGTTAGAGCTGTGAAGCCTGTGAAGACCGCGCCAACTACTCCCGCTGGAAATTATATATTTTGACGAATAAACAGAGACGAAGGGGTCTATTTTGTAAACGTTAACGTTATCAGCTTATCTATTATATCCACGTAATAATGTTGTTAAGATTTACAGAATAGGCCCCTAGGAATGGCGATCTCAAAAAGCAACAACTGTATCGTTAGAAAAATCACTTTTTGAAGATCCGCGGTTTTTTCTCTAAATCTTGTTCGTTTTATAAAATCAGTGTAAAATATCTATGTAAAGTAAAAGTGTTCGCTTACTGGCCTCGATGGGTCCGCATCGCGCCTCATTTCTGAAGGTACAGAATTTGCTGATGTCGTCGAAGTGCAAGCCCGACGGACATCGGTTCAAGTAAGGATATCCATCGACGCACTTTTGATGGAAAACAAATTATGAACGTACAATCACGAGGCGAATAATCGTAGCAGAGATGAATAATCGAGAGCTGACCGATAATAAAAGTAATCCAAAATAATGTGCTAGATATAATATTGTTACCTGATAAATTAATAATGATATGAATTACCTGATAAAACCTCCTACAGGTCGCTGGATCGGCGAAGTTACCGTTACCCTGGCCCTCGGGACACTTGAATTCCTCGTCTTTCTTATCCTCGTCCTTTTTGTTCTTTTGACAATGTACTGAGGAAATAAAAGAAATCGTGATACAAGAGGTAATAGTTCTCCATTGATCCACAGAAAATATGCACGAGCACGCTTCCTGTACATAAATACATTGTAAGAAAGGATTTCTCTCTCTCTCTCTCTCTCTCTCTCTGTCCTTTTTTCCTCTCATAAAAGTAACGAAGCGCTTCGTAATTAACTGTAATCCTAGTATTTTTCGATCTTTAACGCTCGTTTGCGACTAAGTCCCAACATTTTATTTGTTCCCAGGAGAAGATCACGATCGCGTGCGATCGTATAGATGATTTAATGCTCGAAAGCTGTTAAACTGAGAAAATGTCAAGGTTGAGGATTGCTCACTCTCGAGACACGTTTACGCCCGAGTGTATTTACGCTTTTGTATTCAGAATGGGGCCGGCTGGGCTGCTGGCTATCAAGTGCCTACGTTCCACTTTTACCGCGTTCTTTCTGTCAAGCGTTGTTACGCTCCGGAGCCGTGCGTGATTACGCCCGGCAGCGCGGTGACAAAACGGTGACTTTAATGAATGGACAGGCTGGTAGCCTGTCGTAGAGTAAAATTTAATTTTGCATGCAACACATGTAGAATGCGTCCTGAGCGTTTCTTTATTAAAAATAACGAGATTTCTTACATCTCTTCGATCTATGACCGACTAATTGTCATTTTGTTACATCAGCAGGACAGGGACGAGGATGATGTCTGGCGTATATGCACGCGGAGCTTCGCACGCGTGTAGAAAATATGGGCGGGAGAAATTCCAGGAGAGAAGTTTGAGAAAGCGAGAAACGTGATTGTGGGCATTCCAATATGTTTGGACACGTGAGTGCGCACGGACGAGCGTTTATGCGTCTTTCGGTGAAAACGTAAATGCGTTAAAAGCGTCTAAAAAGACGAGGTGGAATCGCATTAGCATAATACCTACCACAACGAATTTCCAAGCATTAGCATATTTCAGAATCCAGCCCCGCGCGCGTTTCTTTTATCGCGCCTTTAAACCGGAAATTTAGAACTGCGTCAGATAGAAATCTCTGTAAGGCAGTTAAACTGATAGTCATATAGAATGTTAAAGCCCGTCATTGACACGCGCGAAATGCCAGCGCGCTAATAATATCTTCGGCGCTTAATGTTAATCCGGATTCCGCAATAGACGTAAGAGTTTAAGTATATAAACTCGTTAAACTCGGTCCTACGCCGCGATGCACCGTTATTTAGCTGTCCAGCCGAGCGTGCATGCAATCGATTTATACGAAACGCGTGAAGAATCTCTAAGTGCCGGAAGGAGTTCTTCACAGCTTATATTCCAGACGCGCCACATGCGCAAGCGGCTGCATTCGCGCAAGAGTTGCACAAGTTTTCGCGAAACTCAACACGCGTTCGCGGTAATAAATAATGGATATGCTTTAATGAATAAAATAAATTTTCGCCAGTAATAAAATATAATCAGTCTTTAATGATCGGCCTGACTGGCAATATATTAAAAATTATAACGACGTTTCGACCTCTATTTTGGGTCCTTATCAAGTTTATGATGGATCAACGTGCGTCAAACAATATAAAATTAATCATCGTTACGTTTTAACAAGGCGGATGGAAAACAGATAT